ACCAGAATGAATGTGTGTGAATGTGAATGAATAATTGACAGTGTAAAAGCGTCTTTGAGTGTCTAGAAAAGCGCTATATGAGGACCAAACAGATTGATGTAATATGGGTCTAGACAAGTTTGCATGGGTGTCCCCTGCCTTCGCCCTAAGTCGGCTGGGATAGACTCCAGCCCCCAACGCTGATTAAGCGGTGTACAGAGGATGGATGGATAGGTCTCGCACAAGTCATGAAGTTACTGCCTATTTCAATGGCAAAATAAAAAAACAAACAAACCAAGAATCAACAGAAGAAAGTTCATTTGTAGTTTGAAGCATATTTAGGGTGTTTCTTACCCACTTTTTGTCTGCCCCACAACATTATTCCACATAAAAGTCTGCATGCTTGAGTTGGAGCCATTTTTAATTCTGTATTTTTTGACTCGAAACAAAGTCAAAAGTCAAAACAAGAAAAGGGTCAAAATGTCCTAAAATGTTCAAAAATGATGATACCTGTCAAAACGTACACATAAATTGTCCCAAATAACAGAAACTTTGTCCAGAATGAATTAAAATTTGGACAAGCTGGCAAAAACATATTTAAAAATGAACAAAATTGCTTAAAATTTCTCCAGCATGATTCAACTTAAAATAATTTTTTTTTTTTTTAAAAGCACAAAATGATTCAAAACCTGTCCAGAATGAATAAAAACTAATCCAGACAGGATTAGAGTTTGGATAGAATAACTCAAAAATAGACCGAAATGATTTTAAAAAAGCACAAAATGACTTATAATTGGTCAAAAATGATTCAAACTTGTCCGGAATGACTCAAAATTTGTAGAAAATTAATTAAAAATTGGCTCGAACAAGTTGAAATATGCGCTGCAGGGTGGCGCAGTTGGTAGCACTGTTGTCTCGCAGCAAGACGGTTACCGGTTCGCGTCCCGGTGGGGGCACCGGAATCTTTCTGTGTGGAGTTTGCATGTTCTCCCCGTGCAGTGTGGGTTCTCTCCGGGTTCTCCGGCTTCCTCCCACAAGGTCCAAAAACATGTTGAGGTTAATTGGTGATTCTAAATTGTCCATAGGTGTGAATGTGTGTGTGCTTGGTTGTCTGTCTCTAAGTGTAGCCCTGTGATAGACTGGTGACCTGTCCAGGGTGTCCCCTGCCTTCGCCCTAAGTCGGCTGGGATAGACTTCAGCCCCCCCGCAACCCTAGTGAGGATTAAGCGGTGTACAGATAATGGATGGATGGATGGATAATAATAATGTACCACTGACAACATGCACTTAAAACAGGCAGACATTAATTTTTAGGTGTACTATATCACTATACCCCAGTGACAGTTCATCAGTTGATGCAAACACAACTGACCTAAAGCTAAAGATCAGAAAACATTAAATCAATCATCCATCCATTCCTCCATACATCAATTACCTATACCTGTCTTATTCTTTAGAAAGTCTTAGAGAAATGGCCACTGGGTGAGGGGCAGGGTACACCCTGGAAAGGTCAACAGGTCATTGCAGGACCTAAATCAAACATGTCAACCACATATATGGAGACATTGTCCTATAGAAAGTTAAAGGAATATTGATTTTTTTCTGTACCAAGGAAATATGTAGGGCTGCAATGACATCCAAGTGAGCTGTGTTACAGAGGAATGTTGAATTGAAAGACAAAAATTGTATTTGACTTTAATGTTAACATAATTCTATCTACAACACACACTATTGTACTCTTAATCCACAGTAATTTTAAAAAATGTATCCATAGGAAATTTATAAACTAACAATGACTGATGAGGTTCTTTTTCAAAGGTAAAAAGGCACACTAATGTTGAATAGGGCAGTAACGCCTCAGTTTTCAAGAACAGGTTGTAGATGTTTGATTTGTTGTTTTTGCGTAACTGCTAAATCCACTTTTACTTTCACTTTCTCCCGTTCTGGTTAAATATGGCCTGTTTCCTGAGCTCACAATGCTGTCCTGTCTTCATTTCCCCACTTTGTCAATAAATAATTCCTTTCTCTTCTCCTCTCCCTTAGAGGAAATCTTCACAACAGCAGAGGTTTTGAAATCCCAGCACTGGCCAGCCAGAGATTAATAGGATAAAACTCCAGCATGGCATGCCATTTAGTACTTTAAAGAAACTCAGAGAACACACCTGAAGTTCTACCCTAGAAACAAACAGAAGACAACAGAGCCCCACTTCTTTTCATTTTGATCAATAAAGTGAAAACATGAGCAGTAATCTGGTCCAACATCTAATTAGATTATCTGCTCTACGGAGAAAAACCATGCAGTGTTAATGAGCCTCCTATCATGTTCTTGTCTTACCCTTCTTCTTCTAGCTTCAGATAGTGGACTAGTGTCCGTTCTGGTTCTATTGGATCTCAGTGCGGCATTTGATACTGTTGATCATAGCATCCTATTACAGAGATTGGAACATGCGATTGGACTTAAAGGGACTGCGCTGAACTGGTTTAAATCATATTTATCAGACAGATTCCAGTTTGTTTGTAGTTCCACAGTAAAGAACCTCGGGGTTACTTTTGACCAGGATATGTCCTTTAACTCCCATATAAAACAAACATGTAGGACAGC